AAAATGTTGGCACGAAAGAAATACCATTTGAAATGTGATATTTCAATATAAGAGATTGAAGGGAGAAAGAACAAAACTCATTACCATGGTTTGCTTATCAAAATACAAGGTATCATTGGAACAATAATGTACAAATTAGACTAGGAAACAAGATAAAACAAACTGGAGAACTGCTGCAAAAATGTTTTTCAACTATCGGACGTCCGATCGTTCAAATTTTATGTATAATCAGCTCATGAGTGCATGGCTTAGCTTAGCGACAAGAGCCGCGTCAGCTGATGTGAGATCGAACGAGATACTTGGCCTCGATGGTAGCAACATTGTCGATGCTGTAGGATGTGTAAGTAGAATCTCAGCTACCCTGGAAAGGATTAGCATTCAGGTCTAATTCGGCCAAACTTTATTGAACATATGGCAGCAATAAATCATTTTATACTCTTCGTGATAGAAGCTTTCTGGATACCTTGCACTCAAATGTAAAGTTTTTTAGAAGTATAACATCAGGGAACTCATAACGCTCAGTGCTTTTTTCAATATATTGTTCCAAAGGTCTTCAAGACGGCACGAGTGTAATGTATGAATCCATTCAAAATGTATGAGCTTGCATGAAGCCATACTAAAATTTGGATGAAAAGAAGAATAAAATAGCATATGAGCTAGTTTCTTTTGTTATTAATTAACAACTCTGCTTTCCTGGAGAGTTACGAATGAATGGCGAGTAACGAAATGAAATTTGTACAATACGCCCCTCTTTTTTCTTGTTAATTATGAAGGAAAACTACTAATTTCACTCGCACAAATAATTACATTCACGCATACGCTGCCTCCTTTAATCAAGCTTAAACGCCGCGGATACGGTAAATTCCAAACTCTTCATACGCCATTTTAATTATTTCCGAATTTGATTTGGCAATCATATTACTATAGCAAATCTATATCAATAGTGGGTAACGATCCGCATCTTACCGAAATATAACGTTTTCATCCGTAAGTGACGTGAGCCGACGGTGTAGTTCAGTAAGTGGAAGTGTTCGTGTACGAGACGGTGGACTAGATGCCCCGACCGAGGATGATGAAGATGGAGATGATTCGGACAACGACGACTGCAAAAAATTATTAACTTTCATTTCTTAGAATGATACCTGCCATTGTGATCATAACGACATTTCCAAAGTACCGAATCGCTTGAGCTGTCCTGTCCCCGATCTTCGGTTTTTGTTGGAGCCACCTTCACTGGCCTTTGAGGCGTGATTGCCGTACTACGTTGGACTGATGAGGTATCCATAGGCGATGGGCTTGGGGATGAGTCTCGTATTGGTACTAATTCACGATCAGTGCTATCCTGAATAACTGCCCCTTAGATGTAGAAGATAAAAAATGCGAGATAATAGCAAGATGTGATAGACTTACACTGGAATCTTTAGATGATCGTTTATGCTTCTTTTCTTTACTCTTCTCGCCTTCACGGCTCTTCTCCTTCTTCTTCTCTTCCTTAACCTCTTTCATAGGTACGTCATGACTCCTGAACATTTCTCATGAATTTTTTTGCGAAAAACAAATGTAAAATAATTCAAAGGAATAAAAATTGCTTGAAAAATCTCACCTTCCTTCATTAGGTTTAGACTTTTTAGGCTTATTTGATGACCCATCAACATCTCGCTTCTTCCTTTTCCCATCAGTAGAACCGCAAAATCGTTTAACCAACTCCAAAAACGAAGCAGGAACGTCCGACATAGCAAACGTAAGCTCTTGCTGATGAAATGCATGTGCTTCTAAAATTGGCAAAACTACATATCTCTGATAAAGAAAAGCAAATAATCCTTACCAAGCTTGAGATTCATATCATACTGCACCGGATATGGCTTTGCATGAGGAGTATTGAAGTAAATTGTGAGCTTTGGGGTGAACGATGCATAGCCAGTCTCTTCCAATTCAAATGGTGGCTCTTTTAGCACACGGTATGGATTCGTGAAGGTGGGATGCAGCTCAACCTCCACCTAAATTTGCGAAAATTACAAAAAAAAAACGATAAATACGCAATGATTATGTAGGCTGGATAAGAAAATAAATGAAAATGTTCCACTTCTACCTTGCTGAGAAAGCTTCTATCTGTGAATTTGTTCCCAACAATGGGACGCACGAAAAGAATCCATCGAAATCTGTGATTGTTCGGCAACGGCTTGTCAAGTGCGAAAGATTCATGACCGATAAACACCTAAATAAAGAAAAATTCAACAAATGAATGGATAAATGATTTTGAATAGAGTTAAATTTCACAGAACAAATATTACATAATGACCACTGATGTACTTTTTATATGTTTTTTAACCAATCTAGATGAAAAAATTATTTCGCAGCGGCCAACATTGGAAGAAATTAGTTGTATTTCCATGAACACAGAGCTTACAAAGATGCACAAGAATGAGTAGATTTTCACATGTAGAAGAAAGGATATATATTTTTGAACACCACTGCACTATCCGAATCAATCACTAGCATGGCTAAAAAAACTTGTACAATACAAAACCTCCTGCTCCTCCAAAATAATAAAAGTAGAAAGAAGAAAGATGATCAGATTAATGTTCCCCTACAACAAAAGAAACCGCGGTGTTATCCCAGAAATCTAACCCCTCCAAATCTTACATTTTATAAAGAATGCGCTCGGGTAATGATTAGACATGCTGATCACAAAAAATCAGAACCACTCCGAAAGGTAGAGCTTTCATTCAGTGTTACTGTAGGTGGAGGTACGTAGACAATAGGATCAAGATAAAGATTAGAATGAGTTTCTATTAGGGTCTGAATAAGAATTTCGGAACAGTAAAAATTTATTTGCACAGGCATTAGTTACCGTTAACACTGGATTAGAAATGTTGAATAGTTAGT